AGCCATCTCATCCAAGTGCTCTTTTTTCTTGATTTCTCAATTTTGACTGTAGTAAATGCCTTTGTGTTTTTATATGTTTTCTTGATTTTCTCATCAACGGTTAAAAGGTCGTCTTCACCAAGGTTGAAAAAGAATGAATATTATGAGTGAATTTAAAATATGATAAGCTGAGTAGCTTCCATCTCTTCTACTCTACCAAGCTTCCCTTTTACTGTTAAGCCATTTTCTCATCACCTAACTCTGATAACTTCACTCTGCCTTTCTCTCTCTACCACATAATTTTTCTTTTTTTTTTTTTATATATATAAATATATATAAATATTCTTTCTCATACTCATATTCCTTACCTGAAACCCACCACAAGCAAACAATTATCTATCTATCCATTTTTTTTTTTATTTCGCTTGCGCATTAATTTATCATCGAATTCGCCATTTTTGAGCATCCTATGTATCTGTACTGCCGCCTCTGCAAATACAGCCTTTTTGCCGTCGTCTTCTGCAATTTTTGTGTAAAGATTGTAGCTTTTTGTAATGCGGTGTTGTGTTACTGGTAAAGGGGGACTTTCAGATTTGCAATTTTAGAAGGGCCTTTGAGTAATAAAGGTTTTATCTTTTTTTGAAGGGTTCTTGAAATGTGGGGTTTTTGGATGCTGCCCTTTTAAGGTTTATCTTTTTTCGGACAGAGATCTGTTGTTAAGGGGCTCGTGTTTTTAAGGTTTTTTTTTTGAGGATCTGAAATCAGTGATGAGTTTTTCGAGATCTGGCATTTGAGAGTGTGTTTATTGTGCTGTGTTGTTCTGGGGAAGGTAAGAACCTGAAACCCCTTGTTAGATTCTTGCCAGAAAACATGGATTATCCATTTTTTAGCAGATTAATAGGTTGTCCTTTTTTGTTCGCTGTTATTCCTAATATCTGAATTTCCACATTGTTTCAGGTAAATATCATTTAAAAAAAGAAAAAAAAAATCGGAATTTATGGCTTCTGATCTCAACTCCGATCTCTCGAGGAAAGCTGGCCTACTCAGCCTTAAGGTCTGGGAAGTCATTGGCATAATAGTCGGCTTATTGATCGTGCTCGTCCTCTTTCTCCTAATATTTTATTTAATTTCAAGAAAAAAACTGAGGGGAGCTCAAGCTCAAGAAAAGCTCCCCCTCAGCCAAATACCGACGGTCTCGAAAGAAATCAAAGAGGTTCGGGTCGAGCACGTGTCGGCTGATGAATTCACACCCGGCGAAGGAATTCTTTTGACGATCCACGACAAGTTGAGCGACAAGGATTCGGACAAGGTGTTGGTTCACCTTGGGATGCCAAAGGGTAAAAATGGTGATAAAACTAATAGTAGCCGTTCGGGCTCTTTTCACAATGTGGATAGAGATTGTTTCGGGTCGGACGAGGGGAGTTCTGGCGCCTTCAACAAGGCTTCGTGTTCTCACCCCATCACGGCCCCCTCGCCCTTGAGTGGGCTGCCCGAGTTCTCTCATTTGGGTTGGGGTCACTGGTTTACTTTGAGGGATCTTGAATTGGCCACGAATAGGTTCTCGAAGGAGCATGTTATCGGGGAGGGGGGTTATGGGGTCGTTTACAGAGGGCAGCTTATTAATGGGACTCCTGTGGCTGTTAAGAAACTGCTCAACAATTTGTGAGTCTTTTCTTTTGTTTTTTCTTTGTTTTGTCAGTAGATGTACTAATATTAGGTGTAGCTTGTGATCACTTTTTGTTGCCCCTCCCCTACTAGAGGTTTATTACTTCAAAATGTCAGATTTTTTTCTTTGCAGCATGATTTAATCCGTGTCACTACGTCTTTCAGCTGTCATATCTCTCGAAGAAGTTAATGTTTTCTAAGGATAGCATGCTCTTTTCTTTTATTACTCAGACCAAAAACACCTGAATATCATAATGTTAGGTTGTTAATGATTGGAACCATGTTTCTACTGGGCATATTTTCTTTTTCTTTCTTTTTTTTTTATCTTAATTTTTTTTGCCTATCTAACTTGTAATGTGTGTGCATATGTGTGCGTGTGTGTCGTACTCTTCATTCTCTGCAAAATTATTATTTTACTGCTTGATTAACTTCTTTTATTTAGCTTGTAGTGTTTGTAGTGTGTGTGTGTGTGTGTGTGTGAAAATGAGTCCGTATAAAGAAGTTTTGCACATCGGTAAATTGTTGGGAATTTCTTCATTTGGTTCACAGAACACACGCGTGTGCGCGCGCACACACACACACACACACACATATATATTAACAGCTTACAAAACATTCTTTTAGTTTTTTTCCTTCTATATGTTGTTCTTGTGTGTTTATGGTTTTGACGTGGTGATGAACAGGGGTCAAGCGGAAAAGGAATTCAGAGTGGAGGTGGAGGCTATTGGCCACGTGCGCCACAAGAATTTGGTTCGGCTTCTGGGTTACTGCATTGAAGGAACTCATAGGTATGGCTTTGTATGAAAAGTCCTTTTTTGTTATATGGAATGCCGAGTCAAGTGAAATAGAGTGGTCGTCTCTTATTCGTCCTAAGGTTTTTATAGCGTGGCCACAATTTATGAAAATTCATAGTAGTGTAAGATACAAACTTGGGGACATTTGTTGTAATTTAAAGGGAAGTGTAAATAAGTTAGAAAGGACTGATTGGTGATTTGAATTGTAAAAGAGGATTTATTATGTGGAAATGTAAGAACAGAAATCGAATCACCTACTTTAAGCTAGGCTAAAATCTGATAATCACTTTCAGGTCTAACAGTGCAATCATTCCCAAGGGAATAATTATGACCTGATATTGCAAAACCCATTTTAAGGCTCTAATGCATATGAGAACTGGATATGGTCTTATTTTCATTATGTAAAAGAGACTAAAAATGATATAATTTCAGGATGCTAGTTTACGAGTATGTCAATAACGGCAATTTAGAGCAGTGGCTTCACGGTGGGATGCGTCACCATGGTTTTCTCACTTGGGAAGCCAGGATGAAAGTTCTACTTGGCACAGCTAAGGCGTAAGTAATTTTCTTTTAAACAGTACTTTTCAGTATTGTGAAATACTCGACACTTGACAATTGGTTCTTGCAGGCTCGCTTACTTGCACGAGGCGATTGAACCAAAAGTGGTTCACAGGGACATAAAGTCTAGCAACATATTAATCGATGAAGAGTTCAATGCTAAGGTCTCTGACTTTGGCCTGGCTAAGCTGCTCGGTGCTGGAAAAACTCATATCACCACTCGAGTCATGGGTACTTTTGGGTCAGTTCCTTTATTATTTTTTCTTTTTCCTACTATTTTTCATCTTCCCTATTCATTTTTGCTTTTATTATGTAGTATTTCATTCTGATAGTTAGGCGGCTTATTACAGCTCTGCACATATTGAAATGTTGGATAATCAATCATAGCTTTTCCGATTTGATTTGACCTGTGAATTAATATGTTGCACTTCAAATTTTGAAAATATTCAGATATGTGGCTCCTGAATATGCTAATACTGGACTTTTAAATGAAAAGAGTGATGTGTATAGCTTTGGGGTTCTGTTGTTGGAAGCAATTACGGGAAGGGATCCTGTAGACTACGCCCGTCCTGCTCCAGAGGTGAATTATTTTTTCATTACCTCTATCGGGTTATTCTTGCTTCTTCATGTAAAATCACGACTTAATTTAATTTATCCTATTTATGTTATATGAAAAATGCATCAAAAAGATTTCTGATCTTTCTACTAAACTGAGCACTATTGCTTATTTTACAATCATCTGTGCACATGGTTAAATTTTTCTTTGACCTCTTCTAGGAGATACCATAATGAATTACTAAACATGCTCGTAAGGTTCAGTTTATTTTGAAAAGTCCAATTATCTTCCATAGTTGCAAAATACCCCCTTAAAAGTTTGGTCTTGGTTGACAGGTTAATCTGGTCGACTGGCTGAAAATGATGGTCGGGAACAGGCGGTCAGAGGAGGTCGTGGACCCAAATATCGACACTAGGCCGTCGATCAGAGCCCTCAAAAGGGCCCTGTTGACTGCTTTGAGATGCGTTGACCCAGATTCGGACAAGCGCCCAAGGATGAGCCAGGTTGTCAGAATGCTGGAGTCTGAAGAATATCCCATACCTAGAGAGGTCAGCTGAACACCATGAATTCTTTTTAATTTTTTATTTTTTTTTGGGCTTATTAGGGCATCTTTAGTAATAGGTTTTCAAGAGGTTTAAAAACATGAACTTGTGAGGTTTACTATTGACAGAGAGAGGTTTGAGGTTTGAGTTTGCAAACCAGGTTTATAAGAGCATCTTTAACCATAAACCTCCATAAACTTCCTTTTACGCTTTCCAACATGCCACATCATCCAAAACCTTATTTTTATTCCTACACCCATAAACCTCCAATAATAATAAAATAATAAACCCCATAAACCTCATTTTTTATGGGTCGCACATGTTTCACACTTATTTTTTGTTATTATTTTTATTAATATTTTCAAACTATAACTCCACCTTTTGTTTTTATTCAATCTAAATATTTTTTATATTTGTACATATAAAAAAGTTATAACTATATTGAAATATTTATAATTATAAAGTGTTAATTATGTACCGATGTAAAGTTTTACTTAAAATAAATTTTTACATTAAATAAAATTATACATTCATATTTGTATTTATATTTTAAAAATAGATTTACAAACTATTTTTATTAATATAAATATTTTATATATATTTATAAAAAATATATGTAAAATATAATTGTAAATATTTTTGAAAACATTATGTAGAAATTTGGAAATTTTATTGTACAAATTGAAAATTATGAAATATATATAATAACTACCACATCCAAAAAAAATCAAAGATAAACGAACAGTTAAAAAAAAAAGGTCCACAAAAATAAATGAAAAATACAATAGTGAGAATTAAATGAAAATATAAAAATAAAAATAAAATAATGTGAATGCAAATTGATGTGCAAGTGGGTGTCAGATGCAATGTTTTAAATACCGTACCGTACTGGCCGGTAATACCGGTAATACTGGATACCGGCCATTGGTACGGTACAATTACACTCAAAATACCGGATTTACGGTTATACTGGTTTGTACTGGGATCATACCGTAAAAATCACAAAATACCGGTCCCAAATACCGGTCAATAAAAAAAAATAAAAAATAAATAATTTTTTTAAGTTTAAATATAAAATTTAAATTGGTAATATTTATTTTTAATCTCATTGAAAAGTTGAAATTTATGACTATGGTCATTTATTTTTTTACTTTTTTTGCCTTTGGTATTATATATTTTTATGTATATTGATATATATCATTATATTTGCTAATTCGGTAATACTATCGATATTACCGGTCCTACCGGTAATATCGCGTACCCGTGGCTTGACCGGTATGACCACCGGTACGGTATTTAAATCACAAGTCAGATGTTATTCACCATCTCACGCCAATTTTTCAATTTGCTTTCACGCGCCTGCTTTACTTAATATTACATTATGTTCGTGCAACTCACAACTTTATTTTACATATGCAATTTATTTTTATTTAATAAATTGCATATGTAAAAATAAAGTTGTGTGTTGCACAAGCATTGTTTAATGTTAAGTAAAGCAGCGCGAGAAACCAAATTGAAAAATTGGCATGAGATGGTGAACCACCACTCTGACACAACTTTCCCATCAATTTGCATTCTCATTATTTTATGTTGTTTTTTTATATTTTTATTTAATTCTTATTTTTCATCTATTTTTGTGGACCTTTTTCTTATACTTTTCGTTTATCTTTGATTTTTTTTGATGTACTAGTTATTTTATATATTTTATAATTTTCAATTTGTGCAATAAAATATCCAAATTTTTAGATAATGTTTTCAAAAAAATTTACAATTATATATTTTTGATAAATATATAAAATATTTATATTAATAACAATAATTAGTAAAATTTGTTTCTAAAATATAAATACAAATATGAATGTATAATTTTAGAAAAAATTTATTTGGAGTAAAACTTTACATCGGTACATAATTAACATTTTATAATTATAAGTATTGCAATATAATTATATTTTTTTTATATGTACAAATATATAAAATATTTATATTGAATAAAAATAAAAGTGGAGTTATAGTATGAAAATATTAATAAAAATATAAAGTATAATATTAATAAAAAGTAAGTGTGAAACATGTGGGACCTATAAAAAATGAGGTTTATGGGGTTTATTGTTATTGGAAGTTTATGGGTGTAGGAGTAAGAATGAGGTTTTGGTCCTTTTGATGATGTGGCATGTTGGAAAGTGTAAAAGGAGGTTTATGGGGGTTTATGGTTAAAGATGCTCTTAATATTGTCAGGTCAAAATTTCGTGAATAGGATTTTGAACTGTTCGTGTGTTCCAAGCAATGCACGTAAAAAAAAGTTTTGCTCGCCATGCTAAAATTTTCATTAATAGAATCTTGAACGGGACTTGTTCTGAAGCAATGCACATAAAAGTTTTTGCTCATAATATTTCTTGGTGCTCACTTTTGGGTACATTGAATGTGCTTTAATCACTAGGACCGGAGGCACAGAAAAACCCGAGCAAGCAGCATCGAGATTGATATTCATCGCGAAAACTATGATACCGATAAAAGCGAAGGCCTGGATATAAGGCCAGAAAATAAAAGAAATTCTTGATCAGAAACTGACGATAAATTTGCATCAATGCCGATCTTGGAAAGGTAATATCATTTGCTCATTGAGGTACAGGTAGAGGAAGAAGAGTACAG